TCCTGCCTCCGCCGCCTCGCGGCGGTGAATATGACCCGCCCGGCCTACCTCCTCGCGCACGTCCTTCGCGCCGTCCCCGTCTCGATGATCCACCACTGGTGCTACCTCAAACAAAAGCTCGCCGCGCTGCGGTTGATGGACTTCAAGGACTGCGGGGCGGGGATGCGAAAGGCCCTGATCCCCGCCCCCGCGATCGAGGCGGAGACGTCTCGGACGCCCTGGGGGGTTTCCCCGCTCATTCAGCAATTTCACCTGCTGCGGGTGGCCCTGCTGATGATTGACGACTACCTCGAAGGGGCGCTTTTGCTCGATCGCTCGTTGGTGGTGCGGAACCTGCGCAGCCGGCGCTTTACGCGGCAGCTCCTGGGCTGGCTCGCCCGGCTCACCTCGCGGACGATTCTCGATACCTTTTTGTTGAGCGTCGTGACCCCCATTTTGCTCGCGAGCGCCGATCACTACCCGAACGTCTTCGCCAACCTCCGCCCGACGATTCCGGGGCTTTTGCGGGGGTTGGGCTGCGGCTGCGCGGGGGTGCTGCTCCAGTGGATGTTCATCCCCCTCGCCAGCCAGATGGTCAACCGCGGCGTCGTGACGGTCTACGAGGGCGTGGAGTATCTCATTCTACGCCGGTACGCCATGCGGCTGAACAACCCGGAGGAAAACAACTTCGACGACGACGACGACGACGACGACGACGGGGGGGAAGAGGAGGTCGAGCATAGCCGAATGGCCTCCGTCGTCTCCTACCCCGAGTCCGACGCCGAGCCCCGCAAAGACGGCGAGCGAGCCGCCAGGGACCGAGCGGAGTCCGGGGGAGGGGGGAAGCGCGCGCGAGGGGAGTCCGAGCGGACGGCCGAGGACGTCCTGCGGCGGCTGCGGCGCGAGATTCGGAAGGAGATGGAGGAGGTCCAGCGCCGCCGCGCGCGCCGGGCGCGGCGGGTGGCGGAGGCCCGCCACGCGATTCTGCGCGCGATTTTCTACCGCATCTCCGGCGCTTTGGTGGCCCAATGTGTGGTGGAGCACCCGCTCAACGTCGTCGTGGAGCTGCTGCGCGGGCGCGCGATGATGCACGTGTGCGGGCTGCTGAACTACTACGACGACGCGAGGGAGTTGGAGGGGCTGAACTGGGCGGGGGCGGTGCGGTTTTGCCAGAAACTGGCCGCCCCCGCGGCGCCCGGAGAGGGGGAGGGGATCCCGCATTGGCTGCAGCTGCTTCGGGGGGTGGGCTCCGTCGTCGGGGTGGAGATCCGGACGCTGACGGAGTCCGTGCAGGCGGCCTCGGGGCAGTTGGGCGCGATTCGGCGACTACGCCGGAGCGCGTCGGACGCGATTCGCGAGGGCGGGCGGCCCTCGGCCTGGCAAAGCGCGGAGTTGATGGCGCGCTGGATGTTATCCTTCACCCCACTCTATTATGACGTCCAGCTGACCGCGGTAGAAAAGCTTTTGGGATTTTACATGGCAATCTGGACACGTTTGACTAAAACGTAAAAAAAAAGAAGACGGTACGCTGTGTAGGAAATCAATGGTGATTTTGTCTTTTAGAGTAGCAAGTTTAGTTAGAAATTGTGAATTATTTCTATCGACTATTTCACATTGTGATAACCATATGGTATACACATATACAACTAAAATTATTTATCTGTATATTAATGATAAAGTAGGGGTTAATGTCTAGGCGCTTAAACTTTGTACATCCCTTACCGTTTTGAGTTCACATTCCATTCAGAAACCTTTAATATGAAATTTCAATTGATTACTGATTGCATGTAATTCTACAGGTTACTTTGTCATGTATACCTTCATCACAAATGGGTTGATAACTGTAAAGAAATCGTTGCCTGTGGAATTAACGAGATATGAAAAGTATAGTAGAAAGTCAAATCTATCAAGAATTCTTTGGGAAGCAACCATTTCTGAACTGAATGACAGTAAATAATAATATAGTATTATTATGCTGCTTATTAGTTCAGTTAAGATTCTCCATGTAAAAAAAAAAACATTCACTGATATGGTTCTCCCTGTTTTTTTTCGGGGGGGAGGGAATGGATTCCAAATTTCACAAACATACTTGTTGAACGAAAACTCCACGTACAATTTATCTCTCTCTCTCTCTTTTGCGTTATCCCAATTATTAGCGCGTCGTTCACCAACGTTTGGGTCGATTTATTTATTTATTCCCTTCGAAGATGCACCCAGCCAACCGGACAAAGGGCGACCAGTCAACCCCCAAAGACCTCTTTTCCAGTAGCTCCTCGGACGACGAGGCGTTGGATCACGAGCTGGCCTCGGCGGCCGCGCGGGAACATCAAAAAAACCCGCACGCCGATCCCGGGCGTCCGCGGAAGCCTCGCGTGCCCCTCGCCGACGACGACGACGACGACGATGATGAATATAAAACCCCCGCGTTTTCCAACAAAAAAGGAAAAAAGGCGGAAAACGAGGATCCCGACGCCATTCGGGTCAACCCGGCCTACGCCCAGCGCTACGAGGAGGTCAAACGACGGCAGGAGCTCCAGCGCCTGACGGAGAAGTACGGCAAGCGATGGGGGGATTTGCGGGACGGCGATTCGAACTCCGAGAGCAGCGCGGAGGAGGATGAGGACGACAGCGGCCTTCTTCTCACCGCCGAGAATGAATTGGCCTTCGCGAAAGCGCTTCTCGCGATTCGGAAAGCCACCCGCCACGGCAAATCGTTAAACCCCCCAAAAGCGCCACCAGAGGGGGAGAACCAAACCCCCTCGGGGGATTCGAAAGGGCTTGCAGGGGTGGGATCTGAGACGACAGGGCGGGATTTTTTGAAGGCCTCCTTCTTTCCCCCCCCTGAAGAACAAATAAAGCGCAATAATGAAGTTCTGCTTGCCAAACTGGAGGAACGTAAAAAACAACGCAAGGCGAAATTCACTTTGGCGGATGAATACCGCCGTGCCCTACACCTCAGCGCGGAGGGCACCTCGAACGCGAACGCGGTCGAGGACAACGGCAGTGGGCTGCGCAAGCTCAAACCTCGCACGGAGGAAGAACGAGCGATACGAAATACCTTTTTGCAAAGCATATCCGAAAGCACCGAGGCCTTTTCGGTAAATAAAGTCCCTAGTTCTCGGACAGACCCCGACAAAGGCCCCGGAACGGACGACGAG